AAATAGCGTATAACAAATACCAAACAATTAGTGGATCATCAAATATTTTTACTCGGATTGTTAAATAATGAATTTTAAACAACTGTAATAATTCAATTTTAATAGTTCGATTTTTAAGTCCTAACTAACAAATTCCGCATATACAGATTCCAGATATCGTCATTAATTTGTTAGATATTGCATTATAAACAAATGGATAGCGAGAGAAACTTATAACTTGTTCCCTTCGATTTATTAATGTTAAATAACAATTACCAAACAAGTGGATTATCGATATCTTCGCTCGATTGTTAAATAATGGATTTTAAACAATTGCAATAGTTTAGACCGATTTCTAAATCCTAATTAACAATTACTGCATAGACAGATCTCACATATCATTGTTAACTTGCTAAATATTGCGTTATAAACAAATGCATAATGTGAGAGGTTTAGAACTTATTTCGTTGAATTTATTAATACTAAATAACAATTATCAAAGTGGATCATTAATATCTTTATCCGATTATTAAATAATATACTTTAAACAAATGTAATAGTTTAGTCCGACTTCTCAGTTTTAATTAACAATTTACATACAAACAAATCTCAGATATCATCGTTAAAACCCGATTATTAAATAATAAATTTTAAACAAATGCGATAGTTCATTTTGATTTTTAAATCTTAATTATAATTAACAATTATCAAATATCATCGTTAATTTGTTATAAAAGGGTATTGCGTTAAACATTTTATTATTTGTATTCACAAACAACAAAGATGATGATGACACGTAAGGACACGTTATGTTTTCGAATTGCGCGCATATAACCTCACACATAAGAACGCATCTTGACGGACTTGTCGCTTTGTGAATGCGCCTTGAGGGACGGTCTGAACAACAAGACTGAAAACTGGAAAGCCAAAGTGGCATTTTTATAGATTTTTATAGACTTGATTTCGAGATCTCAGGATTGACTGCACCGATTTTATTCGGACTGGTCTCAATTGAAAGTTCGTATCGACATTATATAACGAAAGTGTCATTAGATTTTTCATTAGAACTTTCGTTTCCGAGATATTAAAAATCGGAAATCTGACGAGGCAAAACTTCGAGATAAAGCTAAGCGGTAGCGCAGTGCCAGTGCCGTATACTCACAAGTCATCACCCGACTTTTATTTTATATATATTATTTTATATATATTATTTTATATATACTTGGCGTCGCGCCGCTACCGCAGCGCTTGATTGTACAATTCTTACGACTTACACTATGCTTTATTAAAAATTGCATAATATTGAAAAATACTTTTATCTAAATAGATTTATGTCCTTCATTTATTAACTTCTCGTTGTATGCAAAACGGATACATAACCGGCTGATGTTTTCATTAACTGAAAAATATATATTTATTAATGGTAATATAATTAATAACAGTCACAAAGTTTGTGCACACACACGCACAAAAGTGCAAACAAAATAAAATATATAAATTATAAAAAATTGCTATAACATAGATTACTGTATGTGAGATTTTAGTCACAATTAAATGCTTTAAATTGCAATAATTGTAATCAAACATTAAAATATTTTACACCGCAAAAAGTGACCATTGTCATAGGGAACACTTTTCCAGCAGTAAGATAAACCGGTTTAGCGCTTCTTATCAATAGGAGTAGTAAGTTCTTCGCAACTTTTGGATCCATGGAATACCATTCATTATTATATGCCGCATAATATATTTCATTACACTTAAAAATATTAACAATATTTTTAGATATCGATTATTACGTGCATTCAGGGCCGCCGCACGTTAATGTGCAGATTATATATATTACGTAAGTGCTCTAGACAAAGGCAAACATCAAATATAAATAAAAATAAAAATTTTACAATAAAAGAAGTTTGACTACAATATGAGCGGCAATCCTGTATGCATTCGTCCCATAACTAAATTATTAGCCGATAATTATACTACATATTCGTAATAAATTATAAATATAACGTATAAATTACAAATTAATGTATTATATAATGTTTAAGTAGTTAATTTTCTTTAAATTTATTAAGAAATTGCTCGAGATTTATTTTATTTTCAAATTCTCTTCTCTATATATTTTAATTCAACACAATCTAAATTTATATTCTTAAACATTTATAGTAAATTTTGTAAATAACTATTTAAATATAATTAAATTATATTGTCACACATTATTTTAATATTATATATTATATAAGAAATTACTATTAAATTTTACTATACATATATATGTAACAAACATTATAAATCAAGGTTTTTTAAAATAAATTATTTGATATTATTTATACAATAATTTGAAGCATTTTTATATATAATGAACAAAATGGAACTTACCTGAGCCATCAAAATCTCTCCGAGGGCACAATATAGGCACATATGTGTAAATATATTAAAAACGTTGGATATTAAATATATCAAGCTAGTTACGGATAGATCATTTTCTTCATCAAATAGCTAAGCAATTAGTATGCATTAAAGACATAGTATTTATGTATTAATAATATTTTAGGTGTTTGTATGTGTGTTAATATTTATAAAAAGTGTTGTATAAATAGAGTAATTTTATAGTATGGTAATACATTTATCGTTTTTATTATTAATAGTCAATAATTAATTTATCCAAACAAATTTTATCTATACTTGAATACTTACGTTAATTATTCGGAAACCGTAGAAAGCAAAAAGTATTGCAAAATATATAAATAACGCTAGAAGTATTATGTTATACGTATCTTCTATAACGTCAATGGCTCTATAAAATATATCTCTTGTAATATACATATTAATTATACATTTTGTTCAAATTTATATAAATGTCAAACCTGAGTAAACGAATGTGTTGTGTCACGCAGTTTTTTATCATATCATAAGAATTGGTATATTTATCAAATTGTGTCAAACGATTTTTGAGAATGTCCAATTGTCCGGATATATGGAAAACCAAAAGTCCGAGAAAATTATCGATTCCACTATAAGACATTATGGCGACAATAATATAAATAGATTGACTAATAAACGTCAGTTCATACTGCGGACTTTTTGTTACATCGTAAATGAAATGAGTTTGTAAAGGCATTGGTTTGCCTGGATCAGTGATATTGGGTGTCAATCTCATTGATATTCCAAAGCTCGGAAGAATGATAATAAAGAAACATGATA